GCAGGCCCCTTCTCTCAGCTCTTCGTGAACCTTTCTGTGGTGGGGGCGGCCCCTGGTGCCTCCAGGCCACCCCTCTTCTCCCGTCAGTGGCCTCCCTGAAAGGTTAATTACCAAATCGTCCCATCAAAGGAGACTGCACTTTTGTGCCTTAAAGACCAAACTGAGCTTCAGCAACATAGTTATTTATGGTCTCTAATGAGCATTTTCTGGGTGTGATTAACCTTTATGCCAAAGTCACACTGGGGTTTGGGATGGCAGCTTCAATTCCAGCCATGCTCTGAGCTGGCTTGGGGGGAGGGGTGACATGGGCAGTAGCTGGAGCAGGCAGCTGAGAGACGCCCACCCCGCGTGGGCTCCCACACCCATCCCTCTCCTCCGTCCATCCCTTCTCCCCATGACCTGCCCTGATCTGCTTCCCCCAGAGCAGTGCCCCTTCGTGTCAGGCACCCACCCGGTCCTTGGACCGTCATTTTTATGTGACGTTGTCATTGAGCTGAAGCACACCCTCGGTCTTCTTAGGTTTAACGGTCAAGGTCTGGCTCTTTGGCGAGTGGCGAGATTCGTAGCCGAGGCTCAGGTTCATCTTGGAACTGGGTGCTGCCCGGCTGGCGTACAGAAGGAAGGCATCGACTAGTGAGTGAGCCTAGTGTTCCGCCCGTGTCGGGTCCTCGATGCCATTTTGGATTCCTCTACCAGCTGTCGGAAAATGATAATCCTCACAAAGTCCTGAAAACTCGGTTTGTCAAAAATGGTTCCGAAAGGAGAGCCAGGAGCTAGGGCTGATGGCGGAGGCGAGGAGCAGACAGGGGCTCGAGAAAGTGGCCGTTCCTAGGCCTTTAAAAGCACTTTGAGTTTGCTTTAAGAGAGGAGGTCACGTCTGGTTTCATGAGGCCCAGGCCTCTGATGTGACCCCATATTTTGGGGGTAGGGGCTAGACCTCCCTGAGAAAGTGAAGGACACTGTGTACCCTCCCCAGGGCAACAGCTGTCATCACACGCAACTTCTGCATTTAATTGCAGGGTTTCATGCCCCCTCACTGTGTGTGTGTGTGGACCCCAGATTATGAACTCCCAGCTTTAGAAGGAAACAAACAACATCCTGGAAACTTTGGGGCCTGTTCTCACAGTGCAATAATTCTCTGTTGACCGAGATGGAAAACTGGTGAATGGTGAAGAGGAGATCAACATATGGTGGGAGGAAATACTCAGGAAAACCCCGGCCTTTTTAGAGAACCGTGATTCAGGAATAAGCCGGAAGCCTTTACAGACCCTTCTGCAGAGCAAGAGATGGCACAAGACAGATTTTGTATAGAGCTGACCTTTCCTGAGAAGAAAGATTGGTTCAGGAATATTAAGGAGTCTTTTTCTCTGCATAATGCAAAGCCAGACCTCTCTTGGTAGAAAACGACTTTGTGAACCATCACATCCAAGAAGGAGACTTAAGGGTCAGGGTAATAGGCAGTGAGCCAAGAACAGGCTAGCCCTTCGCCCCATGGCATCCGGTTTGGTTCCATGGGGAATCTGGATTTGCTCTGCTCTTCTGTGAACCCCAGCACATTAAGATGCGAGGCTAAGACATTCTGGCTGGCGTGTTTGCCATCTAATTAGAACCCCGAGGTGTAAGGACTTCATACTGAGGCTATTGCATGCATCTGGGAATAGTCCAGGGTCTCTGTCTGCGAGTGTCATGAGCACCAGGATCTAGTGATGAACAGAGGGGACATGGCACATTGACGGGGTGACTGAGTTGTTTTGCTTTGGAGGGTTGGCGAGGGTGCTGTCAGGAGGAGGGGCCATGGAACTGGTTTTTGAGGACTGCCGAGTTCATCAGATGAGGGGTCAGGCAGGATGAGGAGGGGCAAAGAACTTCAAGGGCACAGGTGCGCAGACACTAGCAGGAACAGGTGTGCTGGGCACGGGATACGTACTACAACAGGAACAGAACGAGATAGGCCTTCAAGAGGGATCTGAGGCCTGAAGCACAGCTTCAAGATCAGAAGGATAATGGTGGGGTGTCAGGCAACGGGGCTGATATTTTGGAATAGGGTGTTTCCAGTTTCTTTAATTTGCCTGTGGCTGAGCTGGCTCTTGGAGCCCCACTTCAATTCTGTGTGTGCACGTACATGTGCACTGGGAGATGGCAGAGGCAGGGCGGGGTGACAAATTAGGGGCAGGGATTCTTAGTCCCCTTCTAAAAGGAATCTCTGGCTATTCAAACTGAGCAGCTCCTCCATGGGGACAGTGCAGAGCTGGGTCTCTGCCAACCATGCCAAACTGAGCAGTGCAGGTTTGTCCTCAAGGACACTGATCTCGGCTTAACTAGCAAGAGGCATTGGCTGGCCTGATGGCTTCTACCTCTCTCCACTTCTGCATTTTCATTTGGAAAATGAGAAATGAGGGTAAAGATATTTCACCATCTCTTTGGGGACTTTGGAGTTTAATCACTGATTAATAAAGTGTTAGAAGTTCCTCAGGGCCAGAGAGTTGAATGGGTTTGTTCTAATTACTCCCGAGTCCCAGGAAGGAGTTAGCTAACTCCAGCACCGTCTGCTGAGTGTTCTGAGTGCTGGACGCAGGATGGGAGGGCAGAGCTGAGGGCATGCTTGGGAGCTTGGCCCAGTAAGAGCAGAGAGACCCCCCTATGATGTGACAGAGGGAGGGTGCCAGTGAGTGAATAAACAAGCCCACTATGGGACTCAGGTGGAGTCATCGAGGGGACAATGTGTGTGAATCATCAGGGTTAAGGGGGGCTTCCTGAAGGAAGTGGGGGTGAGGCAGGCTCTGACCAAGGTGCGGGGGCACTTGATTCCACCTTGGAATATAGGATGGGAGAGAGGGGAGCAGAACCTGCTGTCGTCATCTGACAGGAGTGGGAAAATGTGGGTACCGGGGAGACGGGTGGCACTGGTGGGGTGAAGGGGGCCTGGGTGGGAGAGGACACTGGGAACTGGTGAGCATGGACAGCTTGCCTCTGGAAAAGGGCAGGTCAGTTTGCCTCTAAGGACCGAGGAAAAGTTCTGAGGTCCAGAAGGGGTGAGTGGGGAGGGCTGGGGTGGGGTGCGGAGTGTAGCTTAGGAAGAAGGCGCATGCGCAAGGCAGAGCCAGGACTAGGGTGAGGTGAGTGAGGTATTCTCCTCAAGAGCAAAATTTAAGGACGTGCCCCAAATCTTTGTAATCAAGATAAGTCACATTTTAATATTATTACTGAGTTTTCCCTTTACCTCAAGCTCCGATCTGGCCCAGCACTTTTACTGATCCTGTCTTTTTTAAAAAAAGTTTTTTATAGTTTGCTCACATGAATTTTTTTGCATTAATTTAGAGTTCGCAAAAAATATCGCGTTAAAATATGTATCTTGACTACTAAGTTTTATGGTGCCCTCCTTAAATTTTGCACCCAGAGTGCATGCCTCACTCCCCTCACCCCTATTCCTGGCCCTGTGAGTGAGGGGGACGCGCAATGGCTGTGCGCTGCTGGACACCACTCTGGCTTTAGTCTACACTAGCATCTTGCTCAGCGGGACTCAGGCGAGCCCCTACCTCATTTTCCCCCTGTGAAATGGCGACGGCAGCTTCCAGATCTATGTGTCTGTCTCTGAGGTTCTGCAGCGAATTGGGCAGACTGTGTGGAAATGAGATGGGCCTGAGACAGCCCGGCCAGGGGGGCCAGGAGAGGGTATCAGGGAGGGCACCCCGAGGAGAAAGAGCAGAGGAGCAGGGGTGGCGATGTGGAGAGCCACCTCCTGTGTGGTTCATCATCCCAGGAGCCAGGTCAGGTGGGCATAGCTCTGCTGCGCATTGGGTGGCTTTGTCCTGAGAACTGAGGGTGGGGCTGGTTATAATGCCCCCCCCACACACACACACACGAGCTTCTTATCCTCTCGAAAAGTAAATCCCAGGGGAAACAACCACTTCTCCTCAAACCGATGACTAAATAAAAATCACCAAGTTCGAATCCATCAACATGACTTACCAAGTGCCTATGGTAGACCCGAAACGTGAGGTAATTCATTTACGTATTCAGCAAATTTGAGTGCGATGAACAAAACAAAATTTGTGCCCTCATGGAGCATGCTATGCTACTCCCGAAGGACTTTCTTCATACAGGGCATCGTGAACGCCTGGGAGCGGGGCTGTTATACCTGGGTTTACAGGAGAGGAAACTGAGGCATAGAGAGGTCAAGTGACCCGCCACAGTGAAACTGGGGCTGGACACCAGGTCTCTTTTGACTGTAAATCCATAAAGAAGGTGCTGACCTCAAGGGAGGGGACACAATGATTGTGCGGGGGCGTTAGCCGAAAAAGGGGCAGCCCTCTAGGTGTGAGTCCCACGCCAGTCTCCTCCCAAGTGGACTGAAATTCTGGAATCAGTGCCACGGAGGCCGTGGGAAAGATAAGAGGTAAGGGCTCTCCCCAGAATCTCTCCAGACACACTTATCCCTTCAGCTCTCTGGGCCCCAGTTTCTCTCTCTGCAAGAAAGGACAACCACACCAGCCCCAGGGAGAGTTCAGTGCTATCGCGGATGTAAAAAGGCTTCATAAATGGTGAGGCACAATTTGTGCGGACTGGTAATGAGCTGGGTTGGGCCGAGGGCCCCGGAAGCTGCCGACTGAATGAGAGGCCAGGGGAGCCCGTGGCTGCTGAAGGTGGGATGGAGAAGGAAGGGGGGAGGGGGAGGGGGAGGTGCTCCAATGAGGATCTGTGAGCCTGTGGTGCTCAGGGTGTTGGGACACAATTGGGCCATGCTTGAGATCCCATGGGGATGGATGCGGCTTCCTTAGACAGACTGTCTACTTGGGGGCCTAACTTCTCTCTGGAGACTCCCAGCCCTTAGGGAGAAAATTCACCTCTGTCCTGGGAACCTGGGCCCCTGCTCTTACCAGCCTCCCTCCCAGCCTCTCCAAGAACAGGGCCGTTCCAGACCTTCGAGGCAGAGAGGATGTGGGGACAGGAGGGCAAGGTGGCATAGTCTAACCGTGTCCTTTGCTGCCCTGTGCCCACAGGCCCTTCTCCTCCTGGGGCTCAGCCCCATCTCTGCCTCCTTCCAGGACCAGCACTGCGAGAGCCTGTCCCTGGCCAGCAACGTCTCTGGTGAGTACCTCCGCCCCACCTCTGCAAGAGTCCAGGCCACCACAGCCCTACCACCTGCCCCTGCCCGGGTCTCCTGGGTCCTGCACACAGAGCCATGTCCTCAGGCAGGAGCAGCAGAGAGGTTTCCTCTCTAGAGTCCAAGCAATTCCTCATCTCTCCACGGAGGGAGCGATGTGCTGAGGAGGATCCTGAAATTGTGGTGGGAAAGAGAGCTGTGATGAGGCGACAGCATCTGCGTGGGCACAGGAGGGGCATGTGGCACATGGGCTGAGTAGTTATCTTCCCTGCTTTGGGGTGGACAACAGGGGAAGCCTCCCCAGCCCTTGCTGCTCTGAGAATCAACAGAGCAGAGGCGGAGCTGGGGCTCAGGCACCTATGAGGAGGGAGGCTGCCGTTTCCTGCTGTTAAAAACGCCCGAAGCATAATACTACAGGGGGCCAACTGTGAGCCAGGTGCTGCGGGAGTGTGCTGAGCTACATTAACCCAATTTTCACAGTGACCTTCTGAGATAGGTGCTTTAACCTTCATTTTACACTTAGGGAAACTGAGGCACAGAGAAAGACTAGTAAGTGCCGGAGGCGAGATTTGCGCCCAGGCAGCCTGGCTGGCGGATACACTCTTCAACGCCGTGCTCGACAACCTCCTCACTGAAAATGCGGCATAGCAGCAGATATGACTAATGCTTGTATAACTCCATTTATTTACAAAGCGTTTCTGAATAATCGTTTTATTTCATGCTTATAGGAATTTCAGAGCCTTGTGTACAGATGAGGAAACTGAGGCACAAGCGAGTTACACCGGAGAGTTAGGCCTTTGGCTCCCAACGCGGGGCCTTTTGTAACTTTGGGTGTGGTCCCTGAGCCCTCACCCTGGCCCTTTAACCAGGGTCCTGGGGATGCTGCTGCCAGCCAGGTGGGAGGGCCCCTTTACCTGAGAGTCTTAGGAAGGCTCGTTGTTCCTTCGCAATTCATTTTCCTCTTCAGTTTTCTCTTCAATTCAATACAACTCATTAATTGAGCACTTACTGAGCACGGGGTCCCATGCAAGGCACTGGGGAGCAAAGAGGGGCCTCACAGTCTGGTCCAGGAGTCAAGGCCACAGATAGATGTACCATGAGGCAGAGTGCAAGGCACACACCACTGGAAAAGTGGACCCGGTGTGCTAGCAGGGAGGCCAGGCATCGGTCTGAAGATGGGCCTGCAGGGAGAGGAGGCTTCCGTGACTCAGAGAAGCTGTCATGGTCTCTTGCCTTTACTAGGGAGGGTCTGGGGTGGGGTGGGGGGATGGGCACTGGACTTGGAGAAGGCTGACTGGGTTCCCATGCGCACAGTGATGCTCAGTCTTGCCCTGGCTGAGGGCAGGGGCGTGGGTAGCCACAGGGATAAGCATGCCCTTGACCCCCTTGAGCCTCACTTTGCCCAGCTGTAAAGTTGTGGGTGGGGGCGTGACACCTGCCTCAAAGATCCTTTATGATTAAATGCACTAAGTTTTATGTTAGTGTGCCGCACCAGTGCCACTTCTGAGTATTATTTATTATTGTTGGTAACATCTCAGGCTTTTAAAAGTGCCTACCATATAGCTGAGATGAGGGGAAGGCACTTGCCATGAATTGCTCACTACAGCGGAGGTGGCAGGAAGGTTAGATCAGGGTGGCATCAATCCAGTAAGCCTTCCTGAAGGAGGAGGTTCCAAAGTGAGTTACAGAGAGACTCTGAGCAGGCACTGGCAGAGAAGACCCAATGCTCTGAGCCAAAGCTAGGGTTGACTGAGGCCCAGCAGGTGAGCTTGGTGGAAAGAGAGGGGAGGGGTGAGGAGGGAGGAGCAGGAAGTCTGGGGAGGTATGAGGAGCCTGGAGTCTCTGGCTTCAAAGTTGGCTAAGCTAGGCCATGGGGAACTGGGACATTTTTGAGCCAGAGTCTGGAGTGCTAGCAGAGAGAGACCGGGAGGACGGAGAACTGCCCAGAGGCTGGGCCTGAGGTGAAAGGCCCTGCCGGAAGCCCCCCATGCCCTGGAGCCCAGTCAGTCTCTATTAACTTGCTCGTGCTCAGGAGGAGTGACATCCCTGAGTCCCTGCAGGTGTCGCCTGTCTTTGGAGACAATAGGCTGTGATGAACGGTGTTCATTCCCCGATGATTTGTACTCTGTGCCCCTATCCCCAGTCTGGCCCAGCCTGTCTGGTTTCATGGCATACAATCCATCTCCCTCCACAATGGCTTCTGATAACATGCTATTTGTCTTCTGATGCCAAGACCTACCCAGACCAATGGGCACTAGTAGAGACAGATGGTGAGGGTGGGGTGGAGGGACCGAGACAGATGGATGGGCGTCTAGCAGGGGCAGCTGGCACTGAGCCAGGGCCTTTGCGGGGCTTCTCACATGTCAGGAACAGGGAGAAGGTTGGTCCCCAGAGCCATCACGCGGCAGATCACAGACTTGGCAACTCATAAAATTATGTTACGAATATGATAATGCCCGAAAGTAATAGTATTGACTAATGACATCAGAGACAAATGGAATCATATTGTTGACAAGAACCCAGGGTCAACAGTTCCTATCCCTTGTCTTAAAGGTAGTGAATCATAATAATAGTGATAGCTAAAGTTTATTTAATGCTAAGTGTAGACATCATTCTAGGTGCTTTACTATCATTCAATCACCACAACCATATAGTCAGGAAGTATTTGTATCCCTGTTTTACAGAAGAGGAACCTAAGGCTCAAAGAAGTTAAATAACTTGCCCAAGCACATACGGTTACCAAGCATCGACTCCAGGATTTGAAGCAAGTGGGCCTGATTCCAGATGTTTCACCACCGCATTATGTGGCTGCCCAGAGAGCCATGGTGCTTGCGGCCCAGCATAGTCAGTCACCCTGGGGTACAGAGTTGCCCCTACAGTTTCCCATACTGGGTTTGTACACGGCCCCTAATTTTCCTCCAGACCTACTATGCGCCTGGCACTATGCTAGGTGTTGGGAATGCAAAAATGAAGAGCCCACAGGCCTACAGGACAGGAGGTCCACCCACTTGTTGTGACAAATCACACTCCCTACAAAGGTGTCTTTCTTTTCTGCCCAGCCCAAGAGGAGGCAGCTCAACCACAAGGTGGCCAAGCAAAGAACTCTCTGCCTGCCCTCTGCCACCCTCTCCATGCCAGGTGACGCAGGCAGAGCCCCTGACCATTCATCCCAGCAGCGCTTTCCTCTGAATGGGCAAGTGCGTGTATTTCAGAAGCTGCCCTTGAGCCACCTGGCTGCTCTCCCTCCAGGCGGCCTTGGCTGAGTCCCTCTCCCCAGCTTACACCAAACAGGGGGATGGGCTTCCCAGCCTTGGGGCTGCTGCCAACTGCCCACCTACTCTGGTTTATTCAGAAACCCCTGATGAGAGACCCACCATAACTGGGACAGGAGCCAGGTTCCAGTCTCCCTGTGAAGTTATCTACCACAGAAGGATCCGCTAAGCACATTTGGACCCTGAGCCTGATGGGAACGGAACTGTGGAACCTACTTTGGGAAGAAACCAGTGCCCAATCATGCATAGCATTGAATAGGCCATTTCAAAGGGTTCTTATCTGTTCATTAAAGCAGGCCCCCCATGATCCTGACTCAGCAAGGGCTTTTTCAGAGGCAGGTGGGAGCCCTCCATGCTATTTCTCCTCTTCCCTCCATTCTCAGGTGTTTGGGGCAATCGGAATGTGGGTCCCCAAGCATCTGCTCTGTGCACGTGTGGGGAAGGAGGAAGACACAGGGCCAGTTTTATGTGTTACTTTAGTCTACTTGACTCCACCCCCCTCCCCCCAAAAAAGACCCTAAAGGGATCTAGCTGCCCGATGAGTGAGGGGGTGAGCCAATGAGTGAGGGGGCAAGCCATCAAGTGACAGAAATGTCAATACCTCAGACATGCCAACCACACAGCTGCCTCGGGGCCTTTGAACTTAACATTCCCTCTGCCTGGAGCACTTTTCCCCCAGGTATGCACATGGCTCCCTCCCTCACTTCCTTTAGGTCTCTGCTTAAATGTGAGTACTTTAGAGAAGGACAATTAAAACAGCACTCCTGTCAGTCTACCTCCTTACTGTGCTTGTTCTTATTTTCATACCATTTCTCACTAGTTAACATGTCTGTCTGTCTGTCTTTTTGTTTACTATCCCCCCCCACCTCAGTGAAGGCAGGGCATTTATTTGACTTATTACTGTATCCCAAGGTCCTAGAAAATGTCAGGTGTTCAGTAAAAACTTGCTGAGTTAAGAGCAAAGTTATTAGTATTCCTCCCAGTCTATAGCTTAATTGACCAGGAGGGGCGCTGTGGGACAGGAAGCTGTGGGGAGGCGTTAGCTCTTCCTGGCTCAGGGCTGGCAAATTGGCTTGCTATTTGCAAAGCTGGCTTACTCTGGTCCAAACTGCTATCCATCCCGGATCTATGGTATACAGGTGGGAAAATAACCGCCAGGAATGCAGGAGATGCTGGATATTTGTGGTACTGGGAACTGGAGGGGACACTGGCCCAAGAATCAGAGTCCAATAGCCCTGACCTTGAGGTCCTTATAGCCCCCAAGTTGAGTGACACAGAGACTTCCCTTCCCAGGTAGGAGATCTACTCCCTCCCAGCCCCCGGAACATCTGAAATTGTTATTTTTTGTGTACTTCTTCCTCTTTCTCCTGGCTTTTTGTCTGCTTCTCCCTGTTTTAGTTTCAGCCTTTTGTCTTTTTTATTTCCTCCCTCTCCCATCTCTCCTTGCCCACTTGCCCCCCCTCCCTTCCTTGTCCTCAAAGAGTGGTTGAGTGGATTGAATGAATGGCATGAATTTCATAATGTAAAGTGCTCTTCACACCGCCTGGTATAGAGTAGTGTTCAACAAATGTTAGTTACCCCTACCCCGCAAGTCCCGTAACACCCTTCGGGAGGCCGAGTCTGCAGGATCCCCAGGGGCCCGATGTCTGCTGCGCCGCGGGCTCCAATCCCGTACCCGGGCGGCGAACTGCTGCGGAGGTGGGGCACACGGCGGGAAGCACTGAGCCTACAAGGCAGTAGGGCGGGGAAGTCCAGTGGGCAGCGCCCATTTGCCCAGAAGATCTCCGGGCTCCTTCACCCCACCCCTGTCCTTCTGCCTCCTCTCTTCCCTAGACCTCTGGGTCCCGC